TTTAGGGCTTGAGCGTCAATCAGTGACGCAAATAGGTAATTATTTTAATCAAAACGTAGCATTATGATAATACGTACTTAAAAACATGTTCTTTCCTCGCGATTCCTCTCGATTTAATACAAAATGATGAATGTGCTCTTTATTACGCGCATGCGCAAACCGCCAACTAAGCATTTTCTAACGAAGCTACCTGTTACACTGGCCAAAAAAGCTTCGTTGGGACCTAACCTTCGTTGAATTTTCTACTCAATTGCTTCGTTATCAACTAAGCTTTTCTAACGAAGGCAGAGGTGTTACACTGGCCCAAAATTGCTTCGTTACGAAGCTTTTTGTCAAATTGCTTCGTAACGAAGCATTTCAACTGGCCTGTGTAACAGGGGTCATAATCTCTTCCTTGGTATTCAGCAAGAAAAGGATTTCCACTCTGTTGAATGTGATCATGAAGTTTTTCACACTTCGTAATCTTAAGCTGTTAGTGCGCTATTAAAAACATCAGTCCTGAGATAGCTGGATAACCAGTACAAAATATCTATGGAAGCCCCGCAGAATGATGCTTGTTTCGATATTCTCTCGAAATTGAAAAGAATTTAAATCCAGTAAATTTTTGTTATTGAGGACTCCTATGCTTTGTCTTATTCTAAGCTTTTTCGATTCATTTTTTGTAAAAATTGCCATTTGTTATGCTCCCATGGTTTGGTTTATTGCGAGTTTATCTGCTGGTAGATTATTACTTCTGACCCAGGCTGTGCTATAAGTCACTTTCTAATAGAGGATCATCTATATTTATTTCCCCCCTTTCCAATAAATGTTGCACTAAATGGGTTATTTCTTCATCAAAGTGGCTTTGGTTGAAAGTTCACATCAAAGACCAATATTTTAAATCATTACTTCAATCGTTTTCTAATAGACATTCTTAAATCGCAATGTTCTTATGTTACCATTTACAACATAAAAGTTCCTCATAATTGCATAAATCTTGTTTTCTTCTCTCTTTTATTGACTTACTTCAGCTAACATGAATGTTTATATTTTAACAGAGGTACATGTATGCTTACTTAATTCAAATAAATGAATTTTGAATTTGCTCAAATCAATTTGAAGTTATTTGGAAAAGAAGTATGGGATATCATTGTGATATAGTACCAAAAAGATAAACATCATATCTAATACCTTTTATGTCATATCTGTTGTTATTCCATAGTTAGCATGATATTCATAGGATAACATGTGAAAATAAAAACGGTATTTTTGTAATCAGTGGTAAAATATGATATTTTTGACAAATTTTCACTTAACCATAGCATACGGTTTTTTAGCCATGACATACGACGTCGTATGCGATGGTTTATGGATTTTTGCTACTTCAGACTCAAAACGAGGCTAAGTGTCAACATCGCCGGATCGTTTGGAAAATTCTAATTAAATCACTTAATTTCCGACGATTCTGACGATGACTTTAACCATGGAATAAAAAGAACATCCTATGATTTACTCGTGATATGATTTTAATCCACTCATGGATATTGATATCTGCACTCTCTCGCTACGCTCGCTCGTGCAGATATCATATCCATTCGTGAATAAAAATCATATCACTCATAAATCATAGGATATCCTCTATTTATCCTGTTTCCAATTATTTCAATGAATTATTCCCATCAATTTTTTTATTATTATAAATTAATAATGAATGATTATCTCTGCTTGGGTACTTGAACCATTGATCAGAATTCTGCAAGATTTTCTAAAATGATTAGTTTCTGCTTTCAACTTTATTAAAAATAGCCACTCATCCTTGAGAATCGGAGGATGTGATATATTACAATAATGGACGACAATATGCCCTCACTTAATCACCATCTTCACTTCTCAAGCAGCGTAGGGATTAAATTTTTAAGATTTAAGATCGAGATTTCCGTTGTTATGAATAAATACACTCCATCGCTCTTCATAATCCATTGTATCATACTCACAATTGAAGAGTTTTTCCATTAGTGAGATACGTTTGTTCTACTATTCTTTTAACTTGGATGAAGAGCTGCAATTCAATAAGCAGGCTAGTATAAACCAAATATGAATCACGACATAACCAGATATGGGGCTTGATGTACCCATGGTGTGACCTGTAGCCATTCAGAGGAAGGGGTCTCTCGCTAAGAGCACATACTAGTAACCATTAAAGTTTTCCCATTAAATTTTTGACCCATATTTTCATGAAAAATATGCTTTGAGGGAATTTTTGGCTATAATTGGTATAAACTTGGACAAAATTGGCATTTTTGAAATTGAAATTTTTAACTGGTAGAATATTGAAATATTAAAGATATTCAAATTTGATGAAAAATTAAGAGTAACCTCATGTGACGAAAGCTTTATATGGTCCAAATATTCCAAATATTCAACAATATACATATTCTAAATAATGAGATTTTAGAGTACCTCAAGCGATTTATAGACAAGGGCGAAACAGGTGAAAGCAAAGCACAAGCTACGTGCAGCTTTAAAACATAGCAAACACTTAGTATATATATCTCAACACACAACGACTTTCATATTTTATAATAAAGGTACAGTATGTATTAGAAAAACCATTTACCAAAAGACCATTTCATTTATATATATTAAGTACAATCTGCTCATGTACCTAAGTTAAAGCTCCGTGCCATATTTGAAGTTAAGTACAGCTAAGGTCAATGGCATCTGTAAGGTCAGATATCAAAATATAGGCTTTTGTATTATAAGGATTGTTGAAGCTTTGTCATTTTCATGTCACAGAATGTCAAGGTGACATTTATAGGTCAAGGTCAAGGTCACCTTCAATGTCAAATTCAACACATGGCGCATGGATTCACCATTGTAGTGATGTAACTAAAAAGAACCCAAAATCTCATTCTATCATCTTAGCAGACAGAAAAACAATAATCTCGATGCAGTTTGCATTACCCTTGGGTTGGTAAGTATAGAGCATCTAAACCACTTTAGATATTAAGTGAATGTCTTATAGGAATCTTCCAATGCCTCAAGTACATCACAGATATTATGGCTCACTGATGGGATGATGATTTAATTTTCATAGTGGCCAATCTTGTCCAGCATGACCCAATAGAGAAGTGAATTGTTTCTATTTTGAGCTGTCTAACTAAACAACTGTAGAGTTTGCTTTATTATGTCTTCTGAGATTTCTCAGCCTATTGAGAGACAAACGTTTAATTGCTTCTCAAAAAATGAACTTTTGCTTGTGAGTATAACAGAGCATAATATATATATTTTAGTCCTTATATAACATTTGAAAATAAACAAACAGTTATTAATTCCCTTAAAACCATTTTTATAGCACTTATATTATAATCAGTTTGTTGTTATTAATTATATGTTTGATGGAACATTTATTCCGAGGCCCCAAGGTCAAATATAGCCAAATTTTGTTTCTTATTGAAACTATCAGAACAGATAATATAATGGAATATTTGACAGTCTGAAATTGTTCTAGTATACAACACGGGTTGCATTTATGACCTTGAGATTCGATGTTAAAGGCATTGCCCGTTAAAGGATGTATATAACTATAGTTAAATACAACCTTTAAGTTATTTTGTTCATTATTACATATTAGATTAAACAATCATACATGTAAAATGTTTTTTCATGTTTGGGATTTCATGTGTACAAATCTCCTATTTTTAAATCTTAATAAAATTGTCTGCAGTTTTTCGAATGACGTTTTTGCTATTGTATGGCGTTTATTTGATAACAATGGCTTGAGAATGAACTTTAATTCTAAAGCCTTTTTAAAGAATGCTTCATCAAATACCTTAAAATTTGATTATTTGCCTTGTATTATAAACTGTTGTTTATTTATATGTTGTACCTTTTGAGCTTACAACTTTTTAAAAACTTGACGATATTATGTTGCAAACTTTTCTCAGGGGAGGCCATGTAAATATAGTACTGGGTTTCATCAGTTAACGATGGCCTGGTAAAATCACAGAGATTATTTGTCAAAAATATTTTTTATTCATTTTTATTACTATTCGGTATGGCAATGACCTTGTGATGCATTTTTGCATGTAATGTACATGTTTGATCCTACTTCCCCTACAGAAAATGCAACATACTATATTGAACTTTTTGAAAAGTTAATTATATTTTAATTTTGTCTTGGTAAATTAAGGTTTTCTTATATTATACATATATATACAAATAGTTAATATGTTTTTTTGATAACTTAAAACTTTTTTTGCAGTTCTTCTGACTTCATCATTACCACGGTTGGTCAAATTCATTCATTGGGTTTTTATCATCATGCCGAAAAGGCTTGATTTCTGCAATAACAATCACAATGGACAGATTCTGTAATTCAGTGTTCAGGCCCATAGCCAGGCCAAAAATCTTTTAAAATCATGCAGTTTTTCACCATTCTGAGCCCTTTTTAAGTGATTTTGACCATTTTTGGATCAAAATTGTCACAAGTGAACTTCCCTGGAATTTTTCAAAACGTGAACCCTCCTTGGCAAATCCTGGCTACGGATCCTATGTTTTCTATCAGCTGTTTGTGATAGAGATCTATAGCTATTGCAGATAAATATACTCGATACATTTTATGAAGAATTTCTAGAAGGTTTGATGCATTTAAAGTGCCATTTCAGTAATTTTCATTTGTTATTTCTCTCTAAAATAGATTCAGTAGTAAGTAAAAATAGTATTCCAACAACAATTAGTGTTTTGATGATTCAGAATGTGTATAACTGTATTTTGATCCCATAATCACTGAAATGGCACTTTAAGTCATGCCTTATTTCGAAAGGGATGTCATTATGAACGCAGCCTAGAAGATCTTAACTACTTTTAAAAGATGTATCGGGTCAGAAAAGTCTGTTATAGAATACTTTAATAAGTCGGATAATCTCTAAGATCATTTTCATCTCCAATGCTATTGATAATTACTAAACAGAATTCTTAGACTATCCTACAGTAATAATAAAATATATATTTCATAACTCCTCACAGAAAGCATCAAAAAATATTTTTAAATTGAAATATTTATTTTAGAATTTTGATTAAAAAGAAAAACGTAATAAGAACCCTTTTCCCTCAAATAAACTCTTTTTGTCTGTAGACAGATCGATCATTTTTATCTCAAAATTTTCATTTTCATTTCATATGTTACCATGGACACTGCCAAAACATATGGCAGGCGAAGGAAATGTATATTTTTATCAAATTATGTGAAAATTATGTTCAATAGTAAAATTTATCCTCTTAATCTTGCAGGACTATTTTATTTAATTTGTCTTTTGAATCCTCAGTCACATAGCATAACCGTCTGAGCCACTTTTTATTTTGGTATCCATTGAGATTTCTTAACAGCCACGTGTTATTCTAGTCCATAATAATGACATTATATCATTTGCTGCTGAAAGAGGGCTCTGAAATAAATCTGTCATGATGGTGCGCCCTATCTTCCTTGTAGCCTCACTGCACATAACAGCATTCCATGTGGATACTATGGAGCCCCCTGGAGAGAGAAAATGAAAGCATATCAACATATGAAGCAAGAATGTGATAGGACATGACATATTATACAAACTTCTTATTGAATTGATCATAATTCTGAGGCTTTTCATTATCTTAATTGAAATATTGCTCAAAGGTTACTTGTATTTCTGGACAAGTTTTTTTCAGGTTGGTAATTAATTTTTATATCCATAACTGTTTTACTGTTACTGTTACTGTTACAATAAATTTAAGGTTGCGTCAAACAGTAACAGTTGTGGATATAAAAAGGTTACTTGTATTATTTAGAACATGTGAATATGTCTTTCTGTGCAAACTGAAAATTATATCTTCTTAGGCTTAGGGTTTGCTTCATCGACTTCAATTGGCCTTACTTAATTTCATATCCTGCTTACACCCTATGGATGGATTTGGTTCGTTTGGAAGTGATATCGGATAGCTGAAAAATCAGTCTATCCAAGTGAAAACAAAACTACTGAATCATGTTTTTATAATTATTTACTAGAAGGATGCATAGCTGATTATGTAATCATTTGCAGTACAACCTGTATATCTTAACTCCTCTGTTGATATGAGCACATCTATGTATGATCAGACCACGGTTATATAAAACACACATTCATAAAATTATCTTACCTGATAAGTTGTCCCAGTATAGAAGCAGGTCTAAAACATATAGACACATGTTCTCTGTCTGGGACAAGTCCTGGATATTGGGGGCAGCATCAGTTTCCCATAAGATTCTTTTGGGTAGGCCAAGCTCCTGTAATCATTTTTTATTTTTTAAAATAAAAATCAATTTCTATATTCACATACATGCAGAATATACTTTTCTGAAAATATCAAAACTTTAAAAATTGATAATGTTGAAAGTAAATTAGTTGAAAAGGTGCAAGTTGAATAGAAAAATTCAATTTTTTTATTGTCATTTCAACTCTATTGATAGTGCACATGGTACCTTAAACCTTATCATAAATGTTGTTCGATAATGTTTGGGTGACTTTTGGAGCAAAATTACAGAGTATACCCTTAAGATTATACCTGGAATTTTGAAGTCTGTATCATGTTTGTTCTGAATCTAATTGCAGCTAACATTGAGACAGTTTTCACCCAACCCTTTCCAAATCTTTGTTCAGCTGATGAAAGAAGTGATAGTTCATCATCAAACAACTTCGTACCAGCATCAATTAATTCAACATGTGCTTTCCATAATTTTTCGGCAGCTATATCAGTTTCACATTTTGTCTGTGAACACTTTTTGAGATAGCTGAAGAAATCGGACAAACTTTTCATAGATTTAATTTCTTTATTCTTGCAATCTTTGATCTCATAGCAAAACTTGTCTGCGTTGAAATTTGGAGGTTTCAGTTCAACTTTTAATCCTTTGATTTCGTCCTTAAAATATCCTGCATCCATAGCCGCAAGAAATGGCAAAACTGACAAATAGTAATTCATACTGGCCCACCAGCTTTTTGGAGACACACAAAAGATTTCTGATTTTTCATCGAAATGGGTATCATTACCGAAACCGCAAAGTGTGCGATTTGTAAAATCTCGCAACCTCCCAGTCTCGAATTGCCACCCATGCTGTAAAGGAAGACCCCAAATAAGGTTTAAATTTCCACCCAATTCAGTTCCATTTAGTTGTTTTCCGGTTGCCTCTATAATACTCTTATACATTCCTTGTCTGTCTAAGTAGTTCCATGGATTGATATATACTGTGTTGTTATTCTTAGGATATTCAGCAAGAGAGGCGGGGGCTTTTTCCCAGTAACGGGGAAACTGGGGTACATTCTTCCAGTCTGTATCATCCTTGCTGTGTATAGGTTGTATCAGGCTAATACCCGTCAGACTGGAAATCACAGTATAATATTTAATTATTTTAGAGGATTGTCTTTCAAAAATATTGCGCATCATAATTTCATTTTTTCACATTTTGAGAAAAATACCTTCAGAAACTTCTATAAAATATGCTGTGTAATTATATTATTTAAGAATATGAAAAAGCATCAAAATCCATGGAAGTCTGGAAGAAATAAAGAATTCACCTGCACCATATTATCAAATGCATATAGGAAGTCACTTACCAAGTCAATGGTATCCAAAATATAAACAGTTTAGACTTCATGTTTGAAAAATAAAGGAAATTAAGAAATAAAAGCAATTTGCTTTCTTATCACTTAAATAGACTATAAGTTTGATAAGAAGCCCACTTTTACATAAATGTTATTCTGAATTAGTTATCAAATCTTTATCTATTACCTCAAGATATAGTACAGCTGTTGATTTTACAATGCTTATATGTTCATATACCAGGATATATAAGTTTAAAGAGGCAATAAGGACTGTAGAGAGAAAATTCGAAATTTTTTATTTTTTCTGAGCTATCAGGTCAATATTTGGCTTATACCTTCTTTGACATACCTATTTTCATAAAATGTATGTATAAACTATCAATTTCAGCATTACGAAGTGTAAATTCAATTCAAAGCTTCTATAAAGGGAGTCCCACTTATAGATTTTTAAGATCCACCATGTTTCAAGAGGAATATCAGCTGAAATAATGTTCATCCAGAGGGTTTCTTTGTAGATAATGAAAATATATGTTAGTCTTGATGAAATATCCAAACCTAAATATATTTTGACACTTGTCGATGATCGTTGAATGGCCCCCCTGCACTATTTGTAGCACCTTTAAAGTTGCAACAAATATTTGAGAGCAACTTTCTTGTCAGATATTTACAAGTGGTAATGCTCCAGCATTCTATGTCACATAGAAGGCAATGGAGTAAAACGCTCTCCAGGGAGCATCTGTCAACATGGTACAAAGCAGTAAAGGAAAATAACACCTTCATTGAAGCAAGCTATTTTTCTAAGTGTGACCTGCCTTTCAAGCCACAATTGACTGTTCATGAGCGATAATACTTCGTAATATGGTTATGTGATCATAAAATATTATTCAAAAATTCTATGAGAATTAATGAATGGTAAAACAACATCCTATGAATTTCCCATGATTTAATTTTAATTTGATTTTGATTTGTTCACTCAGGAAATATTTTTTTCATTATGGGAAAAGATCGTTCTAAATGTAAAGAATCAATTCTACACATATTATATTCTCACTCATCAAGTCTCTATAATACTGTATAATAAACATATTGTATTAAACTTTTGAAAACCTCAGACATAAGTATTAGTCTATATTGCATAAGTTCTACTATGTTTAACAATTGGATCTCCTAGAATCCAATGTTTGGGAGAATGGGATATAAGGGTAATCCAACTGTATACTAAGGTACTCTTTACTCAAATAGGACTGCCACTCTAGCCTCTTACTATTCTATATGGTGCAGCATTTTATGCAAATAGCATTTTGAATATCTGATATAGAGCATTTGTTGCCTTTAATTGGAGTTTGAAGGGGAGCAAATGATAATTACTTACAAGCACAAAATATTATATTTAACAACATCATTGTAGTCTAATGAGATAGATTTAAGACGTTTCTCAATATAAAGAGTTAAGATAGATTTGAGCTCTTTAAAAGGGTAGCACAAGGCCCTTTCATATAAAAAGCCATTTGTTAATATACAGATTCAAGCGTACATTTATCTCTTGTACATTTATCATACACATGTACATTTATCATACATTTATCCTTCTCCACATGTGTTCCTAATGATACTATTTTTTGTAGTTTTTTCCAGGTGCTAAGAATATTATTCTTGGTAATAAATGTAGCATAAATACAAACCTGTTGCATCTAGGACTGCTTTGCAAAATATTAGATCTTTCAGGTTATTTTGTTATTTCATGCCATCAGTTGATGTATTGATTGTTTATTTTTAATATTCCAAAATATTAGATCTTTCAGGTTATTTTGTTATTTCATGCCATCGGTTGATGTAGAGATTGTTTACTTTTAATATTTCAAAATATTAGATCTTTCAGGTTATTTTGTTATTTCATGCCATCAGTTGATGTATTGATTGTTTACTTTTAATATTTCAAAATATTAGATCTTTCAGGTTATTTTGTTATTTCATGCCATGATGTATAGATTGTTTATTTTTAATATTCCAAAATAAAATCTCCAACATATAGTCTGCACCAAAATATACCAGATTTTTCAATAAACAATACCAGAGAAATATTGATAAACAATACCAGAGAAATACCAGAGAAATATTGATACATTATAGTACTTTATTCTAATGGAAGGGATTTCCAATGTATGTGTGCATCTTTCACATGCAATGTTCTCCAATGCACATGCGATGTATTCTCATCCAATCACAGAATAGGAAACACGACAGTGAGATAACAAACTAAAATTTCTAAAAAATTGTCGGTTCTCAAACTGCTAAATATCAATTCTTAAATTGCATCATACAGTCTAGCACTAAGAATTGAGCTGAGGCCTGTATCTAGAGTCTTAAAATTCTACTGAGGTGCAAACAACTCATGCTTCAGTAGTTTGAACAAATGGGGCGTATGTTGGGAATCAAACAGGGGTGGGGGAGGTTTATCTTCATGGTAAATTTTTTTTCTTTAAAAACAGGTTCTGTTAAAGATCCTATCTTTACAGAAATAAGGCCAACCAAAATGGCCTGACTTCATGGAAATCTTCGAGCATTTGTGAGAAAAAAAATCTTGACTACGGCATGGCCTGTGATTTACCCATTCTATCTATAAGGGGAAATCTACTAGTGGTTGGAAGACTGACTCGTGTACTCGAGTTTTACTCGCATTTGTCCTAAAAATCAATTGATCGAGTTGAAAACTTGAACTCGCGATTTGAAATTTTTACCAAAAAATATTTTTCACTCGTTTTCACCTTTCCTTGACTCGCGATTCGTCTCTCCTATTCGCAATTTCCATGCTTATAGTTGTAATGTTCTGCTTAATCTGTATAGAATACAACTTATTTTCTATTTAATGCCATGTGCGGAAGACAAACATACTCGGATTTTATTCTGCGTTCGTTATTTTTATGCAAAAGTTTCATTTCCGGTTTGATGCATTCTGGGAATATCCAACAGCCGGGAATTTTAAAATATTTGTCTACCGCGGTGCATCCTGGAACTTTCTGGATGACGAAGTTTGTTTTCACTATTTATTCGGTAAGTTTTACTATCTATAGGGGACTAGGGGTGAACTTCAACGATCTATAGGGATGGATGTGCAATAAAAAGTATAGAGGCACTTGAAAGACTTGATCAAATTGATGAATTCTTCCGCTACTTGGGAAACTGGAACCGGAAGTAACTCAACTAAGTCAAATCGCGATTATAATCGTGGTTTTTCATGGCCCACTCGAGTGGAGATTTTCAGGCGAGTCCGACCATTAAAATCTACTGAGATTTAGATACATTCTCCAATATTTATGAGACCATAATGGGCACCTAGCCGTAGACCCATATTTTACATGTTATGAAATAAGAGGGTTTAGCTTGATCAGTAGAATTTAGTTTTGAATTGTAAATGTCAGTGAACCTTTATAAATATTTCATGATTTCATGACACATTGTCATGTTCAACAAACCAATCTAATGTTTTATATCCCAGTCAAAATTGAAACATGGTCTAATGCACCTTGCTTGCTAGAAAATCTCAAGGAGGCCTGTGTTATAGGAAATATACTAGGAGTGAAATTCAAGAAACATAATAACAGAAATTAAAAAAAACATATAACACTGTATTGATGATAAATTGAAATTCTTTAATTAAATTTGTTAAGGTTCTATACAAAGGCCTTATTGGTTAATGTTACAGAGATAGGGTTTTTACATGATTTTAGATGTTGCATGAAATAGTCATGTTTGTCTGTTTAAAGATTCATAGATCATGCACATCTTACATTTACAACAACAACAAAGGGCAATACTCTGAAGAAAGAAAAGAAGAAAGTAAAATAACACCTAACAGACAATTTGAAGCCTGCAGGAATAATCCAGAACTTGTAAATTCTGAATCACAATCAACCCACAAACATCCTGAAATTGATCATTAATTTGATCAAAAGTCGAATTAAACTAAAGCTAAACCAAAAAGAAGGCCTCAAAAGATTAAATACATCAAGGATACCTTGTTAAAAGTTGAAAGTAGAATCTCAAATGAAAATTGATCAAGACCCAAGTCATATCTATAAAACAAGGTAAAGCTCATAATCAAATCAATTTGTGATAAAAATACATAGAGGTATATTACATATTTCTTCTGGGTCCTAATCCACCCACTCAGTACAAGATCTTCCTCAAAGCTCTGTAAAAGTGCATTTTCAGAACTCTTAAGATCACAAGTGTTCAAGATTTGCCTAATATAACTACAATTAAGCAATAACTGTAATTAATAGAATATCAACTCTAGAGACATTATTCAGTAACAAACAGGACATACTAAAATGTCACTAACTCATTGCGCCACAAGTGTGACCATTTGTTACATAAGTGTAACCATTTTTATATGTACAAATGCCAATTATTGAACATGGGTGACAAGAAATTATGGCTTTAACAATTTGTCCCACTATTTAATCGTGACTTAAAAACAACATAATAAACAAGTCTGTTACAGAAGAAATGAATCTCTCCCTACAGAAGATGAATTTCTATTTATTGAAAGGTGACGGTGGCATAGTGTCAACTTGGGAAATCTCAGTTGAATTTGTTAGATCAATTGCGTTATCGTGAAATTAAGGACCCTTAAAGTTGGTGTGAGATAAACATAGTTAAATAGCACAAAAACCAATGAAAAAACATCTGACCGTCCTTCTTGTTTCCAATTCAATCAATGTTGACTTTAATAGAGAATAGATGCCTCTATTGTGTGATTATAAAACATTATATACTTCATGAGGACACAGCTCTTATCAATTGAGAAGGTTAATCTCAAGTTTACAATGTGGAAGGAAATGAGAGTCCGATCAATAGAACTTAAGTAAAAATAACCTAAAGTGAAAACACTTCTGAAATCCTAATTCATCAATATAAAACAAAGCAATTACAAGGTTATGAGGCTACAGCTATGATTAGTAATAAAGGTATGCATAGTTGTAGACGAGCTCACCTCAAATTTCTTTGGAAGCCTTATTTCTCCACATATCAACCTATTTCTTTATGAAAAGTTACAGTTTAGTGATACCATAATAGTTACACAAGTTGACAAAAAT